GAGCCCTTTCAGCCCTGGTCTCTTTCAGTCCTCAACCTCATAATATTTGGCACTTTGCTTCCGTCACATTGTTTCGGTCTAGTTACAAACGTTCCGCCTCCAAGGCGCACAACTTTTCTTGCTCGATGCAAGTTGTCCTGTTAGGATTTAATGCGGTGGGTCTCTTTGTTGTGGTTGTTGTTGTGCTGCGTCATGTGTCGCGGTGAGTCCATTAGCCGTGGACTTTGTTTGGCGCTTCACTGAAACAACCAACGCTTTCAGAGACTTTTAAAAGGAAAGAGAAACTGCCCCAGAACAGTGAAAAGGCCAAAAAAATAACAGCCAAGATAGCTGAATTCATCGCGTTGGATGACCAGCCGTTATCTGTTACCTTTTTCTTCTCTTAATGCATTGCATAAAGATTGGATCGGGAAAAATCAGTATCGGCAGATTGTCAAAATCAAATGATCGGAATCGGATCGGGAGCAAAAAAAGATGATCGGGACATCCCTAATTACGGTTGATTCACCCAGTGTTGAAATCTAAATCATCATGTTTCATGAGTGGTATGGGATGTTTGTCGCAGATTGATGCTGCCATTTTGGTTTGTTCAGCTGACATTTGTGTGCTGCCGCTGCTCTAGGCTGTTTCATTGCTGTCTCACAGATCTGCTTGTGGTTGATTTTCTTTTTTTGTTGCATTTGATGGCTGATAACTGCCGTTGTGCTGCTGCTTATTTTATTGCATTGTGATAAAGTGTACTATCTTGTGGTGTTGTTTGCTACTTTTATTTTGGTTGTTTCATGTGAAATATGATGCTTGACTCACACAGTAGTCACTCACTGCTATATCTTGTGTTTTATTGTCTGAACTGTGTTGCTGCTTGTTGTTGACTTTGCTCTGTTGGTTGCTGTTGGAGTTCCCCCCCATCCCAGAATGCACCTGTAGGCTAAGACTCTTATTACTGGAGGGAATATAATCATCAGTGTGCTGTGCAAAGCTTGTTGTAGTAACCAAATAACTCTTCTGTCTTGATATATCTGTTCCATGTCAGTTGACTTAAATATCTATTTTTCTTAAGTTGTACTCCCAATTAGTTATAGCGTGAATAAGGGCATTGCAAATATGTAGATGGTTAGGTTGCGGTTTTCATTGTTGAGGTTTAGATCTTTGTATGTGTGGCAAAACGTTTCTTAATATATTTGGTTCTGAAATCAGTACAAGAGCCAATCATACAACTATTATTCTATCTACATTGTAATTCTACATCTAAATGTTTGTGTTCCTTTCAAACTCATATACATAAATGAATGTCGGCTATCTTAAGATATTTGGCATATAATTGCATTGACGTTTGTGTTAATTGTATTTAGCTTTATTAGGACTATATTTAACAAACACATTTCCTTTGTATATTTGTCTTCTAATTTCTCAGAAACTTTCCTGAGCCACAGCAACCTCTTAACTAAACCTCGATCAGTATATTATATCTTAAAACATCGCCTCATGGTTCGCCATGTTTCCACACTTGTACCATGATCCTGTCCAGACTCAGTACTCGATTTTCAAACTGACTAATGTTTTTTTTAAAGCATAAATCAAGCAAGCTGCAATGGTTGCATTACTGTTGGCCTTCAAAAAAGCTCATGACGGTCAGACCCTTGAACCTTGAATTAAGTAAAATCTAATACACACATGTGACGAACGAGGGATAAAAGTATGTTTGAGACTCTCATCTATTATTAAAGAAGCCACTAGATCCAGATCAAATCAGGCCTGGGACAGTAGATAGTGTTTCATGGTGGCTTTGTCTTTAAATATTCCGCTAGATTGAAAGCTTCAAAGTAAACTTCAATTACTGCAGTGATTAGATCTGGCCTGCTCCATTAGAGGACATTCTAGCTCAGGGGGGGGACAGACAGAGAGAGAGGGCGACGACTCTCAGACCCCCAGCCAAGGAATTACTAACTATTGATCTTGCTGCCACAAGCCATCTGACAATGACATTATAGTTGTGTAGCTTCAGAAGCAGCAGTACAGTTGAGCACAGGGCTGATGTAGTCCCTGCAAAGCACTTAGACATGGGGAGGAAATCCTATTTCTTTAGGGACGGGATGGAGAGCAAAGGGTTTCTGCTGGCTGCGGGTTAAAGTTCCAATTTGATTCAGTTTTTATCATCTTGTTTTGAAATACACTGTGGGTCGGTGTAATTGTGGTTTTCAATTTTTCTTTACCATGTCTTTCCTTTTTGTCGTTAAGAAACATTGTATTAATGTTTTGGACATGTCATAAACAGATGTTTTGCAACTAATCATGTAACATATTCTAATTTCACCATTTCCTATGGTCAGCGCTAACCAGCTGCAATAAAGGTGGATACAGTATGTGTCTTACAAAACTTGACCATTTTGGGAATTTATACATATTTCAAGACCAGAACGAACCATCCACATTTTGACTCGTTAATTGCGTCTTATTCATCTTAGACCCTCCAGAAAAACGCGATCCTGCGATCGCAGAAATTACCGCATAATCAGCAA